CTTAAAATTCTTTTCACAAAGGAAAAGAGAACACTGAAAACCCTGGTTCTGAGTCGAGAAGCGAACACGCTACCTCAATATAAATTGAGCTGCAAAGAACAAGCTAATTCTGACAAAATTTGAGCGTAAAACCCTATTCCTTGATTAGCTGTTGCTTTAAACACAATTTATAAAACAAACCAGAGCACTAATTGCCCTTTCAAACTAGAAATCGTATTAAAGCTTGCTCACCAGTTAGTTCCTCTTGAACAGACAACGAACAGCTACACACTGAATCACCTAATCTTGAACCACGGGTTGTAAATACAAGACCATGACGTCACTACCCAAATATGGGGTCTTACTTACACCCAAATATGGTCAAAAATGCAAATTTTAGAAGTTTACGCAGAATTTGAGAGTTTTTGCCTACGTTGCGCGGCGTTAAAATTCTGCCGCCGAGTCAACCTCGCTTCTTAGCTCGGTTGCCTCCTTGGCAATAATAATAATAATAATGATGATGATAATGATGATTGATAGTAATAATACTTTGTGTGTTCCAACGGCAGCCTATTCTTAGATCTGCAAGTTGGTTCGAATGAAGTCTTTGTGCTCTTTGAATCGTTTCTGAACTTCACCCCTTAATTCATCCTGTTCATTACTGTGTCGCTGGGACTTGCCTGTAATCTGTCTAAAAGCGTAAAAAACTGCTTTAAATTTTTCATCGGTCATTCTTTCCATCTGGTCTATTTTATCTATCAACCTTTCAACAAGTCTAAGCTTCGGGGAGTCCCGTCTCCACAGGTATTCATTATTATCTGGCGTGTCAACACCGTCCTTCTCCATGGTTTCCCTCTGCTTTTCACTCTGGATCTCAACGTCTGTCACCTCCTGGATATCTTGAACACCGGCGGCAGAACTCTCGAACACCAAATCTATCGACGGCCTCCCCCTCCTCCTCATCAATGTCGGGGACTTTCTTCTTCTTTCAAAGTCGTCAAAATTTGTGAGAATTTCGTTCACAAGTCCATTGAATCTACTGTTACCCTCATCGATTTCGATGTGTAGATGTCGAAAAGCGTCATCTATTTTCTGGAAGGACGACTGAAACTTGTTTCCGATTCCTTCCAACGTCTCCATTATCGAATCTACTTCTTCTCTTTGTAATTTACCCTCAAGTTTATTTAATTCAGTGATTTTCACGTCGTGATTTTCATCCGCATCTTGATAGGAAGTCATCTAAATAGACACAAGCAATAATTAACTTTTTCAATACTTTCAATCATTGCCGGTCCTTTCTGATTGGCTCTCAGGATTGTAATTTATCCACGAAATGTATTATTTTTGTTGTAAATCGCATCTTTATCAGTCAACAAATGGAAAACTAAAACAAACCATACAATCAGATTTCAAGAATAGCTCAAACCAACCAGTAGAACGCATTTTAATGCGTGTTAAACTCCACATGAGTTTTGTCACATAACAATTTTAAATGCTAAAAGAGGGAATGTCCACTAAGATCGGGCCGAATCGAAAATTCGTATCACGTGTTGAAAAATCACAATTCTTGATATTTCGTCCAGAGGTACCCTATGCTGGATTTGGAAACGTGGTGGGATTTTTTTCTTGAAATGTTTTTTGAACGCCACAAAAAATATATAAAAAAATAAAGCTGAGGGCCACGCGTGCCGTTGAAAACATCAAAGGTAACGTGATGCATACCCTTCAAGTAAACTTCGCTCTGTTTCGCTACCCAATTAGACTTATGCTAATTAATTTTAAAGGTCAAGGCGAGCCGCTTAACATCCCCGAAATTTCACCTATTTAGGCTAGGTTTATACGTCGAGTTGAATTCAGAGTCGACATGAATTGCTGTCCAATTTAGACGACGAATTTAATCCGACCAGCTTAGCCGGTGTTTTTATACTACTACCCTAAGTAAACGTGGCGATGGTTTCGAAGCGAAAGGCTTTTGTACATTATGCTAGCATTTTTTAGTAACCATTTTAGTGCAGTAAAAGCATCTAGCCCTCTTCGAGCATTTTAGTAGAATTTGACTTCATTTTCAGGCGGATTCAAGCTGACATCGAGAAAAGTATAGTCATAGGATAGGCTCCTGGATCACCTCGAAGTTACACCTTTCCTCTAAAGAGCCACGCTGCTTCGACTACACGCGGGAAGATAACAAAATTGACACTAAATCGACGGATTGTCGTCCCCTGAGCCACTCAATCTTGTTTTATACCACGTGACCTAAAGAAGCGACTGGCTCTGGGAATGAGAATGCTGAAGCAAACTTTTAGCCATGAGCAGTGAGGAAAGCCGGTGCCACGACAGCCTGCCGGCACAATTTTCGTACGTTATGATAATTTATTTGACATTAAACATAATGTCAATTTCGCGACGTCTCAAGTGAAACGTTCTATAGACATTGAATTGTTCAGACGAATTTTTAAAATTCATTTCACTTCGCAGAATAGTCGAATTTCATTGCATGGGAAGCTTACGATTAATTTCGAGTACTTGGGAGTATTGAAGGCCGATGATGTTAAACACTGGTCAATGAAAGGGAGGCTGAATGATGGGTACATTAGATGAGCCAAGAAATTTATCAGGTCAAAACTTAATGGGGCAAACCTGGTAAGAGTTCTCAATCTAGTTACAGTGGTGGACTGTGTAAGAGTGGACAAAGCATGAGCTAAGGACTCTCGATCTGAGGACCACAAAGTTGCCTAATATGCAAGGTGCTCTCCAAGTGACAAAGAGCATAAGCCGCTTATACTTTTGTCGAAAGGAAGAGAGAAGAATGCTGATCAGTGGAAACCGTACTGTCAAATTAAAGAAACTAAACCTTGGCAGCTATTTTAGCCAAAGTAACCCACAAAAACTGCGGAAGGCTACATGAAGAAAGAGAAACAACATTCGAGTGAAACAACCAGGTGACTATAAGAGAAAAACACAAGTGAAGGCTGGTCAGAGAAAGAGCTCCATGGGGATCGCATTCAACAAGCAAGTGATGTGGTAAGTTAATCCTGTAGCTGGTTTGCAATAGGAACAGACCATAAGAAAGTCAAGAAGGATCTAAAGGGCTTATTAGGGGAACCCTAAAAGATATAGATCAGACGATAACGACATGATTAATCACAGCCCGTGTTTAAAGCGACCATCGAAAATCATCGAAAATCAGACCCTGCCAGCCCAGTTATTTATTTTTTTAAAAGGGGCATGGTGCATTGGTTCCAGTCGTGAATTGGAAACTATGTAAAGTGTATGATCTACCATGTCATGGCGAAGTGAAAACAAAACTGAGATACAAGAATAACAGCAGAGTCCTCATCATAAACATTGTGATGTCTGGCAATGGGAACGTTGATGGCAAGAGAGAGAGAGAAAGAAAGGAAAAACATCTTCGCTTTGGAGGGCAAGGGCAAAAACAACAGTAGTCGTTGTGTGAGCTTAATTTTTTACTCGGCTAAAAAACGCCCGAAGATTCCTATCCTATCCTTAGCACTTTAATAAACAATGAAAATTTGCGAATCTTTATTACACCTCAGAAATGCTCTACTATTGTAGTATAACTTCACGCAACCGGGGATAACACAAACCCCACGAAATTGTCTTGAATTCAAATCTTTTTCGTGGAAATCACGAAGGTCGTTGTTCCTTGTAAAATCTGATGGATAATTGAGCCTTTTGCTCTGGTATAACTTGAAAAGTGTGGAAGGTGCTAATAGATAATGAGCGTCAAAAAGGTTCCCTTTTCAAAGGAATTGTGTGTAAAAGTACACACGAGTTACCAAAGAGGCAATGTTAACATTAAAGGGGAGAGAAACAGGAATAAGATTACGAGTGACAAGATACAACATCGTCTCTACTTCTCCTCCTAAACTGTCCGGCACCCGCCGTTTTTTCTTTAAAGGACAATATATCACTTATTTAAGTCAGGGCTCCTGTTTACATAATTATTATACTAGCTGGAAATGGTTTATTTGCCTTTAAACAGTGGTAAAAAGATAACGGAACTTACTCACTTGTGGTCACTTGTGGTCACTCGTGTGTACTTTTAAGAAACAGTCTCATAAATTAACTGCGCGTTTACCTCTCTAGACGGGTTGCTTTTCAATTGCCCAAGCCAGATTTTTTGTATGTTATACTACGACAGCTGCGCTTTTCTGAGGTCTAATAACTTGTAAACGAGAAGAATCTGCAAGACTTGCTGAGTTCAAACACGAGATATGTCTGCTCGGAAAACGTCAGGCTCTCGAAAAAGTTTAGTCTGCAACAGGACGAGTTCCGTCTTGAGCTTAAAGCTCAAGACGCGTGCAAAAGAGGGTCTGCGCACCACCTAAAGTTGGAGATATAGTTTCAGATTCAAGATCCTTCAGTTACTAGGTGTTCTCTCGCGGAAAGACCTAGCCAAAGAGAAGTTCACCATCTAGGTCAATTGGTTTCTGTGTATGTCTTTTGTTAATCGGAAGCCAGAATAAATGCCAATCCACTCCTCAGCAAGATCTCGGATACACACAAGATCAGCACCTAGTCAGTGGTCCTCCTATAGCCAGACATCCAATTCCAGCAATTTCAGTCTATTAGCACAAGTAGGTGGAAGCGACGGCTGCCCGCTAGTTGCAGAGTAGCCAATTTATCCTGGGAGTGGACTCCAGGATGAGGCCTGTGGAACTGATGAAGCTCCCTAGCACGAAAAAGGTCGGTTTCTCTATTGTGCTAGAAAAAACACTCCTTTAAGGATTGTCAGTCATTAGGGTAGAAACCCTACCCAAAAAGAATTCAATCCCTGATATTTAGCAAACTGTCTTCAGGATGCTTATGCAATAAACATGTCTCAAGGTTTTACTCAAGAGGGAAACTTTCAAGGCTGCGAACAGCAACAACATAAATAATCCTACAATTCTACAAACAAGCTCTCGAGAGAAGCCAGCAGCCTGGTCAGTGTAAAAAAATCTCAGTTACTTGTAATACTACTACTAATAAATAAATATTAATAATAATCATGATTGAAATTAAGAAAGTATACTGACCTTGGCAAGCACTCTTAACCCCTGGTTTCCCATGCCAATATAAGGATAAAGAAATTTCTCATTATGGGTGTAATCCATGGATATCTCGTTCCATGTGATCTGTCGTCCGTTTAAAGAAAACACAACTGGAACTTTCCCATCTTTTGCCAAGTCAAACCTAACTGTGCAACCAATCAAATCCCCTCTGTCGGCCATGGCGTCTACAAAGATATTTCGAACAATTTACATTGACTGGACAGTGGTTAGGGGAACACTTACTGATACACATTTTATGAATATTTGCTAAACTAGTAACTACTATTTTCATTTCCTAAAGAAGACGTTTCGCTGTCACAATATAACAAAAGATACATTGGGACTGGCCTGCAATTAGCGAGGCTATTCGAGGCAGACCAGGCTACATAATTTACTACAAACTAGACAAATACAAAGAAATTAGACGTTATATAAGTATATATATTTTACATTAAATAGATACTATTCTCCTTAAATGCAAGGACAATATTAAAGTGAAATTTTAAAAATAAAATAAAATGAAAATAAAGGACAAGAGAATTACTTTTTCGTTTTCACAATGATCGTATCCACATCAATATAGGAGTCTTCAGTTTCAAGGATATCGAGTAGCATTTTTTAGTGATCTTTTAAAAGCTTTTTTCGGTCTTTCTTTAAGAATTTGAGGTATCCCATTCCAAGTTTTGACCCCAACACGCGAAAAAGCATTTCGTTTGACATTGAGTCGAGATTCTTTAGTATAAAAATGTTCAGAGGATGAGGCACGTGTGTTGTAAGTATGAACATTAGAAATTCGAGAGAAGAGTTTCAAAATATTATCCGGAGCAGTGTTTTTATTTACATCATACATAAGACTACAAACGGATTCATAATATACAGGGTGTTTCAAAAGTTCGTTCCGATTTTTTATTCGCTTAAATTTCACTAATTATTAAAAAAAACCCTTTTGTAAAACTTAGTATGTTACTCATTATTTATTTAGCATTGAATAACTGAAATTTTGGTAACGACAATGTCTTCTTTTATGTTTTCTGACATTTTCTAAGCGGTGAGGTAAAGAATGTACGAGCTCCCAAAGCGTGTCTGAAGTCACATATTTCCAGGCGAAACGTAGTCACTATTTTAGCTCGACCAGTGTTTTGGGGGCTGGATCTTTGTATGTTGTCTCGTCTACGACAATCCAGATAGTCTCTAGGGGGTTCACATCGCGTGAGTTTACCGGCCGGTCCTCCTTTGGTGAAAAGTTGGCAAATCCTTCTGACACCATGCTTGCATGAAGTGTGCACCGCCTCTTTCTCTTCAAGACTTCAAGTTCCAACTTTTTTTGGAAACTTAACCCCATACCGTTGTGCTCGAAACTTTGATCTATAATGTGAAGTTGAAATTTTTTTTACCTTTCTGTTTTGTGGAATTATTATACGCATAAACTTACAGCTTTTTCGATAATATTTCTCACACAGTTTGTGAAAAAACGGCCATCCACTCCTTGGTTCGTCTTCAAAGGTCTTTACTTTTGACCTCTTGTTCGGTCGTCGTTCAGACTTCTCCAACAATTTGGCAATTTTTTTCGGACTTGATGACCAGAAGACCATAAAAATAGATGCCTGAGCTCTAGCACAAACAAGGTAGGCCTTCATTTTCATGAAGGAGTAGAAAAAATAAAATACAACGATAAAAATACCAAAATAGAAAACCTACAAAATGGGTAGGAAAAGTATGGCGGGAAAAACCTCGCGTACGTGTACAGTTGGGGCAAAAATTAAAAAAAAATTATAATTTCTTCAAATTTTAGTTTGAAATTGCTTTGAACGGTTATTTAGATAAATTTCTTACCTGAATCAGTTTACATTTGCCTAAAGAAGCATTAAATGCTTTGCGCAAAATCCAATTAACAATCGGAACGAACTTTTGAAACACCCTGTAGAGACTGTAAAGGTAGGATTTTTGCACTGACAAAAAAAGGTATTGCGTGGTCGTTTGTTTCAGCAAAATATATTAAAAGCAGGGAGCGTTTTTGAAGGACGAAAGACCAAAAACAGGTTTGGCTTGGGCAAAACGAAATCCTCAGCAGGAAACTTTCATGATTGAAAACCACCTTTCCACAATCGATCAAATTTTTGAGGTAGTTTTCGATTAAGGTGTTTCGATACAGTTTTTCAGAGGCCATAGCGATATTTTTCAATCGCCTTTAAAGTAGTGTTTTCCTTGTCCGATCGCTATAAAATGTTCACCAGCAATTGGCTATGGATTGAAATTTGTGAAAGTGTAGTTTAAAAAGTTAAATCGATTTTACTATGACAACAATAAACAAAAAACTTTGAAATTGATAAAAGCCCAATTTTGCGTGATCTAGTCCAGCTACTGAAAATCCAACACTAGGAACTTAAAGTTTGGTGTTTAGCAAACAATCTCCGTCAGAAGTAAAAATTCTGTATGTTTGAATCCGATTAAAACGAAAAAAAAATTCAAACCTTAAATTTTCAATAGCCGTGACAGTTTATTTAATAAAAACATTATAAATGACTCAAATTAATCTAAAGTAGCGTCAGAATGATGCTTAAGGTCATATTTTGATGCTAGGAAATTTTGGTGTATTTTCGTTCTTGCCATCTTGAAAACTAGCCCGTTTTCTCACCACCCGTATAAGTGCAGCTTCGTTCAAAATTAGCACTTTTAGCGCTTTTTTGTATATCTCTGAAACCACTCGAACGAATTTTTTAAAAAATCTCTTCACATAATCTTCCTAATGTATATAATAAGGTCTGAGACTTTCACTGAGATTAATTAAAATTTCAAGACAAACCTATCCTACGAAACTGTCAAAAATCTGCGTTACAACATTCACTGTTTTGACGTTATGCTAATTTTTCCAAAATAATGCGCACTACACATATCTCCATGACTAGTACGATATTAAGCAGCACTTTGACTAATATGAGTCATATATAATTTTTTCATTAAATAATCTATCACGGCTATTGAAAATTTAAGGTTTGAAATATATTTTCGTTCTAGGCGAATTCAGACTTACAGAATTTTTTACTTCTTACGGAGGTTATTTGCTAAACACTAAACTTTAAGTTCCTAGTGTTGGATTTTCAGTAACTGGTCTAGATCGCACAAAATTATGCGTTTATCAGTTTCAAAGTTTTTTGCTTACTGTTGTCATAGTAATATCGATTTAACTAAAACCTATTTTTTGACAAATTTCAATCGATACACGATCATTGGTGAAAATTTTATAGCGATCAGACAAGGATAAAATCACGTTTAAAGCGATTGAAAAATATCGGTATGGCCTTTGAAAAACTGTATCGAAACACCTTAAGAATCATGGAACATAAATATACTGAAGAATAAATGTTAATCTAAAACCAATTCATTGCTGAACACAATTATTTTGAAGCTAATTTATACAACAGGATTAATTAAAGTTAATGTGATAACCATAAACCCGCCTTTACCAGGGGTTACTTCCTGCATGTGACCCCTCTGTCACACTAATTGATTCGCTCAGCAAATTAGATGCCAGCTATCACATGAACAGTTGATGCCTATATTTTCGCGCCTAGCTCAGCAAAATAGCACCTCATATTCTTCTCTTCGTAAAACAAAATCCCATCCCACCGTCCCTTATCACTGCTCTATTCTCTCTGCTGGTTTTCTTAAGGTTTTATATATGAGGTCTTTTCTCTTGCTTAAAATTTAAGAAGCTCCTTATACTTTTTGCAGTCATAAGAACCACCGATCTTTGTTGCTTACACTTTAAATCAATTGGCAGTTATCAAGAAGATATGGCAGATATATAAGAGGTGAGGTTTCTACTGAGGGGAATCATTCTACCAGGCATCCCAACATGCTTGTGCACTTAGTTACTTTGGGCCTTATTTTGATTATTAAATTGATAAAAGTTTAATTGTCATTTACTTACAACTTGTATTAACATATTTTCGTCTAAACTCTCTCCCTCGAGGTTCATGTTAAATGTCTGGCTCTGCTTTCGGGAGGGTTCAGGTTTCCCTCGAAAATAATTGAGGGTTTTTCCTGACGGACAGCAGGCACGCAATTCTAACTTAAATTAGTAATGATATCTTTATTGAGAGTTGTTGGCGATCAATAAACATGGGGGTCACACTTTGCCCCATAGACTCTTGTTACTCCTTAACCCGGGGAATTAGACATCTAGAGAGGTCTTTCCACCTCTCCAGTACCCGAGGGGGATTATCACCTCCACTCACAACTTTGAGGGATTATCACCCCCTAGAGAGGATTATCACCCCCTACAGAGGATTATCTTCTCTCACAATCCTGGGGGATTATCACCCCCTAGAGAGGATTATCACCTCTCCCCTTGGAGATTTCGGACTGTTACACCAATATGTAGAGAAAAGTGACCTGCTGTCCATATTTGGAGTACTTCATCCCTTATCCCTTTTCACCACAATAATTCTGGTCTAGTTACTTGCTTTTATCTAAGGGGTTACGGGTTAAGAGCATTAATAGGGACTTTATCCCCCACAAAGGGATTACTGGATAACAAGGTGAAAGACCCAGGCTTTGTCTATGAATTTTTGCTTATTATTATCTCACCTTCATACTCTTTTCCCCTAGTTGGATTTTCTGCGTCAAATATTTTTCCTTCATCAATGTGATATCCCACGGTTCCCTTTAACCAACCCGGCATGGCATGATTTCCATAATCGTTTCCAACAACACCGACCCCTAAAAGACGTCTATCCCCTGTTTCTTGAACGAGAACCTAATTAAAGGAAAAGATGACCTCTAAAACGTAATTGCACTGAGCCCAAACCATCAAACCCTTAAAATTATGAAACTGCAGAGATGTTATTGAGGTTATCAAATTTTGTGTGTTTAACTAAACATGCTGATAAGCCGATGAAGTAAATTAAGGGTGTGTTCGATGGATCGTATTCCGGAATAAGAATGCACAAAAAGTTATCTAGCAC